TCTGTCTCTCTCTGTCCCCAAAAAAATAAATAAACGTTGAAAAAAAAATTAAAAAAAAAAAGATGAGGATAGAACTATGAACATTGTTTGGCTCCTCAGAGATCATTGGTAATGTTCAAGGTCTTGTGTAACCCTGCATTTTACAGATGGGGATATTGAGGCCCAGAGAGAGCAAATGGATTGCCCAAGGTTCACAAGGACTTAGGGGCAGAGCTGACTTCTAGTTTCCTGACTCCTGGTTGAAAGCTGACCCACCAGGGCCGATCCTTGTACGGGGTTGAGTAACCAAGGACATGTGTGAGTGACCACCGTGTGTAGTCACAGGCAGTGGACACATAGGAAAAGGCCTAGTCTCTGCTCCTGAACTTGGGTTGAGAGGTCCACACACAAGCAGAATTGAGGTTTGATACACAGAGGTCTTCTTGAAGGTCAAACACAGGTAACTTCAAAGCAAAAGGCAAGTTTTGGAGTTCTCTCCTTGGAGACAGCTCAGCACATTTATAGAACTCAAGTAGCAGCTGCAGGGGGATGGCCAGAATGACCTATGCCCCTTATGCAGTTACTGCGTGACTTCCCAGACGAGCTGAGAGCTGACATCGCTATGCACCTGAATCGGGAGATCCTGCAGCTGCCGCTGTTTGCAGCAGCGAGCAGAGGCTGCCTGCGGGCCCTCTCCCTGCACATCAAGACCTCGTTCTGCGCTCCAGGCGAGTACCTGTTGCGCCGTGGGGACGCCCTGCAGGCACACTACTACGTCTGCTCCGGCTCGCTTGAGGTGCTTCGAGACAACATGGTGCTGGCCATCCTGGGTGAGGATCCCACCACCACCTACTACCTACCCCCAGAGGCATTGGGTGTGGCCAGGAATCTAGGGCCTGGGATACCCTAGTGGATATGTGGAATTCCTGCTGAGGGGGTCCTCTTTCCTGGTGTCTTCACCTCACTACCATCCCCTTTTGACCATACCCTCAGATTCTCCCCTAATCCTATGGGCCATCAACCCGTCAACCCTTCCCCAGTGACTCTCCCCCAACTCCACTGATCCTTTCCTGCTGCACCGTCTCCCAACTCCATTGACTCTTCCCCACTGACCCTCAACTCCATTGACCTTTACCCTTTAGCTGACCCCTCTGGCCATTCTTTACTGATCATCTAGTTCCATTGATTATACTGACATTTCCCATTGACTGTCTCCCAACTTCATCAGTCACTCTCCACTGACTTTTTCCCAACTCCATTGATTATTTCCACCAATCCTATTGATTGATCCTTCTCTGACCGCCCTTCAAACACACTAACCATCCCCCAGCTCCACTGACCACTTCCCGCTGATATCCTCTTGGTCCCTCTGCCCCAGCTGACTATCCCCATCCCTTACCCACAGGGAAGGGGGACCTGATTGGGGCAGATATCCCTGAGCCGGGGCAGGAGCCTGGGTCAGGGGCAGTCCCAAGCTGCGTGCTGAAGACCAGCGCTGACGTGAAGGCACTGACCTACTGTGGCCTGCAGCAGCTGAGCAGCAGAGGGCTGGCTGAGGTCCTGAGACTCTATCCTGAGTACGGGGCTGCCTTCCGGGCTGGCCTGCCCCGGGACCTCACCTTCAACCTGCGCCAGGGCTCTGACACCAATGTATGTAGACCCCCTATGGCCTCCACCTCCTCCGAGGTCCCCTCCTTCAGGGCAGACCTCCCCATCCCAAGAGAGAGTCTCCTGCATCTCCTTCCACCCGGAGAACATCATTTCTCAATCCCCGGCACCCCCTTCCATTGTCCCTTCCACGCTTAACATCTTCCACCCCCACCTGACCCTTCTTCATTGGCCATCACCCAACCCCATGGACCATCTCTCACCACTTCTACTTCCGACTCCTCTGACCCATCATTTCCTGTTGGCCACCCCTCAGCACCCCCCTCAGACCCCTCAGAGGGACCTCACTTTGGAAAGAGTCCCCCTCGCGTGCTCCTCCTCCAAGTCCGTCTCTGAACTGGGCATCATCCCCTGGGTTTCCTCTTCGGCACTCACCAAATATTTCCTGACCCCATTTTGGCTTAGCCTCTGGGCCAGGTCTACAGTTTACACCCTAGGCCTTTGTCTTTCACTGCTTTTCAGACTTACTTTGCCACTCAGACATCTCTGAGTTGGAGTTGGAAGTATCTCTGACTCAGTTCCACAAAAAGGCCCCACATTCTCAAAGCCCACAGCACTGATGGGGAGGAAGGGCTGCACCAGGAGAGGGGGGAGGTGTGAGTCAGCTTGAATCCCCCCTGTGTCCCCGCAGGGCCTCAGCCGCTTTTCCAGATCTCCTCGCCTCTCCCAGGTAACACCATCTTCCTGGGAGGTGTGGGGTGGGGTTTGAGGTTGCATGGGGGAGTCTGGAAGCTGGAGGCACCTTTCCGTGGCTCCTCTGCTGCAGGGAGAGGGGGGGGG